TACCACAGCTTCTCTAGCCATTCGTTTGTTGATGGGCACTTAGGTTGTTTCCAACTCCTTGCTATTGTGAACAAAGCTGCAATAAACATGGGTGTGCATTAATACATTGCATCTGCCTTTTAAGAAAATTCATTTGATTAGGTATTTTTAATAATCTTTGCTCAGCTTTATGCCTTAAAAGCCTGAATTATTCATGAGTATATTGAAATCTTCAAGCCCGTATCTCACTTCAATAAAATGAAGTTGTCTGAGAACTCTGCTGAATATGTGTGTAATGTTTAACATTGTCTTATTTTTTAAATAAAATTTTATTTTATTTTATTGTGAGGTAGGCAGACACTTAACAAAGCACATTCGTTTCATTCATAAATTTATACATATATCATATGTTCCATGACATTTGCCACAGTCCTTCCTCACGGAGTGTCATTTCAGTGCCCCATTTCTGTCTGCCCAGTTTTCCTGTTCCTTCCTGCCATCTTAACTGCGCTTTTCAACAAGTGCAGCCCTTTTGGTGTAGTGTGGTTGATTGTTCTGAGGAGCATGCTTCTTCTCAGTGTTACTCTGTACTTCCATAAGCCTTTTATTTGACTGAAAGTTGATCTCTGGGTGTGGCTTCATGTCTCAAATAAAAGTGTGTCTAAGGACCATAGTCTCAGGGGTTCCTCCAGTCTCTCTGAGACCAGTAAATCTGATTTTCCCTATGGATTTGAATTTTGTTCTACTTTTTTCTCCTGGTATCTGGTATTTTGATTCCTGTCAGAGTGTGGTCAGTGATGATAATCAGGTTCCAGATAGTTCTTTTGGTCTCAGGCCAGTGTAATCTATGGTTTCTGTGATCCTTTAGCTCTTTGAATTAATAGTTTCCTTGAGTCTTTCATTTTCTTCACTCTTTACTACAGATGGAAAAAAAAAAAGACAAAACAGCTATAACTTAGATGGCTATAATTACACACTGGAGCTCTGGTGGCCTAGTGGCAAAAAGCTGATCTGCTATCCTGAAGACACACAGTTCCTGAAGACACACAGTTCGAGGCCACCAGCTGCTCTGCATGAGATGGATGGGCAATCTCCTCCCATGCGATTAACTGTCTCTGAAAACCCACTGCTATGGGTCTGTTATGGGTCAGTTCTGACTCGATGGTAAACAACAATAATTATACACTAGCCAGAGTAGGATAGAGAACACTGTCTTCCTGGACTAGCATATGCCTGTTAAACCAGATGTTACCCTGAGACAGTTCCTAGCCCTCAAGTCTAGTATCTCAGTTCCAGGTGTTTGATTTTGGCTAAGAGATTTTCATGACAATGTCTCCTGTGCACTGTTGTATTCAAGGGTATGTTTGCAGCATATGTAAATAGATATGCAGGAATATCTGCTCCCAGCTCTTATCTATATATACATGAGTGTACTTCCATATACTCTGACTGTACCATCCCTGTACAACTTACATAACTCCCTATTTGTCCACTCATACAGTATCGTTTGCTATTATTGTACTAGTAAGATTTGATACTTGATCATATTAACTTTATTGACTTACACCTTGTTCCTTTCAGTGTCTTCCCTTGCATTGTGTTGTGCTCACTTTCTCCATGTTGAATAGTCTTTTCCGTCACTGAAGTTCACACATGTTTACTATCTAGTTAGTAATATTCTTTCCTTGTGTCTCATCCACTTTTATCAAAGAATGTGTCTATCTTTGTGTAAACCTTCTTTTGACGTTTTGTAATACTGGTCATGCACAATATTTGTCTTTTTGTGAATGACTGACTTTTACTGAGCAACAAGAAGACATCCATCTTGTTCTAACTTTTGCAGATTTATTATTCTTTAACATTGCTATATATGTGCCACAATTTGTTTATCTAATCATTTATTGATAGACATTTCGGCTGTTTTCATTTTTTTCGTATTGTAATGCTATATGGAACATGGAAATTGCATATGTTTATTCATATTGTGACTCTTATTTTTCTAAGATTTATACCTAGTAGTAGACATATGATAGCTGGACCAT